TATCCATGTTGCAAAATCGTTTTACAATCGATAATACAATTTTTTCTATAGGATATTTTGGTGCCTTCTTTAGTTCTCCATTTACAATTGTGAACCTAGAGGGACTCCAAGAAACAATCGGCTTTGCCTTGATAGGGAAATCAACGCATATGCCTTCACCATGCTGGTTGAGAACATAATACCAATCATGTGGCAAGCCTTTGAAACGGTCAAAATGTTCTTTTTCATACAACATGTGGCCCTTATGGTCAGATTTTTTGCCCTTGTTTAATGTGATGTACCTCCAGACATCTAATGGCATGTTCACATACACTGGGTTAACAGATTTTGACTTGAGACTTGTCTGGACAACATTCATAAAATCTCGACATGCTTGTTCAAATTTTGGCCCATCGGGTTTGAGTGGTTGTTCATAGCTCCTGTCAATGAAGAGGTCTTATTATTGCTTGCAGTTTTGTCATAATGTTATATGTCGCTGCCGCTTATATGGTATTTACTTGATAAAATTATATTTGCAATAAAGTATTTGGTTATATGGTTATTAAACCCAGGACGTCCGTACCTCAAAAGAGCAATGCTCAAATTTTCAGATGGCTCCCAGGAACAGCTGTGGTATGGCCATCCTTGCCATTTTATAAGATATTCATCGCCCTCAAAAAAGAAAACTTCGCAATGCATAACCTCGAATTGGGAATAAATTTGACTAAAAGCAGTTTTGATACTTACATACGGCTTTTTTCTTCGCGTGATAACTCTTTCGGCAGCATAAAATTTCGAATCTCGCCTTTTCGGCTTACTATTGTACAATACAACAGATGATAAAGAGTTCATCTGCACGTAGTCGACATCGATTTTGCATTTTCTACGGCTTTCTCTCTTACTGCTGGCGGCCATCTTGACCATTCACTTTAAATAACGATTACTCGAAGTTTTCCGCGCGTCAATTACCGCTGCCAGTGGCGACCTGCGGCGCATGTCTCAAATTTCTGGCGATGATATATATATATATATATATATATATATATATATATATATATATATATATATATATATATATATATATATATATATATATATATATATATCCTAAAATTAATTATTGCTACTAAAGTTTCACGCCTTATTCAAGACGATCTTCAGGCAATTAATTCAGTGTATGTTTGATTCGTCAACATTAACGGTTGGTCGCTGACGCGGAGGCATGTCTTGCGTAATCGGTTTGAATTTGGACGCGCTAAATTTTTCCCTATATCAGCACTTCGTATAAAACTCTGATCGCGTGTTCAGTGATTCAGTGATTCAGTGAGTTCACGTAAGACAAGCCTACGCGTCAGCGGCCAAACGTTGATGTTGACGAATCAAACATACACTGAATTAATTGCCTGAAGATCGTCTTGAATAAGGCGTGAATCTTGAGTAGCAATAGTTTTAGTTTAGTTTAGTTTAACAACTTTAATTCAGTACCACACATACTAAAAAAGGCTTGACACGAACGGGACGAGGTCCCATGCAAGGTGTCAGCCTGACTAAAATTTACAAACTACTAGCGTAACTATAATAACCATTATATACAAGTATTTAAAATAGATAAAATTAGGAATGACAAGGACACGTCCTACACAATGAATAGATGCAGGGTAAAACTGGATCGAATGTTGTTGTCAAAAGTTCCTTGTAAGTCTTGTACAATAATTAATTTTAGGATATAAATATATCTTGCTCTGCTATAATATTAGTATTGAGCACTTTACTATCTACTACAATATAGTAAATAGCCTAATGCTCTGCCAACTGAGCTACGCGGCCAGGTCGATTCGAGTGTGTGATATTTCGGAACAGAATCTAGTTCCTTCGATATCAATGCAATCTAGTATAATCATGATCTTTTCTGTGCTTGTGTAATGTACGTACTCAGGTGAATATGATGATTGTGATTACTCTGAGTGTATATCCACACCGCGAAAGCTTGAATAATATGCCTGTCCACGGTGGGAATCGAACCTACGACCTTTGGAATATAGCCCAATGCTCTGCCAACTGAGCTACGCGGTCAGGTCGGTTCGAGTGTGTGATATTACGGAACAGAATCTAGTTCCTTCGATATCAATGCAATCTAGTATAATCATGATCTTTTCTGTGCTTGTGTAATGTACGTACTCAGGTGAATATGATGCTTGTGATGTTACTCTGAGTGTATATCCACATAGAGAACGCCAAAATAAGGTAACAAGGGTAGTAAGAATTTTAATTCTTAAAAGAACGTACTAAAATGACTGTTTCTACTTTATCGTGGATGCGGCAGAAGTCCTGAATAATGTATGTTTAGTCGAAAATCAGTCTAACCAGACTAAACTTGCGATCGTGCATTATCTAAATATTCGCGCTAGCTATACCTTCTGCAAGTTTCCGTAAGTCTTCCCAAGCCATAGTTTGATTTACCGAAAAGGAAAAACAGCCTGAAAATAGTATTTAAGGGACCGGTCATAAAGTACAGGGGAGGCTGGAAAATTCAAATTTTTGAAAACATATCTTTGAAGACCCACCCCCCAAGTTAGGCTTAATTATTGATGGCCCACCCTTTTGCCCTTGCATAAAAATTGATGACCCACCCCTGCGTAGAAAATTTGGTTCTAGACGAAAAGTAGACTTTCTCCAAGTCTCTCTTTGTGTTCACTTTCTTTGTATTCTTTTTCGTTCCACTATAGTGTGTACTACATGACATAGCCAACAATCATGTAGAGGTACGGTACACTTACCAAGACGTTACCGCACTGGAGGGGGGGGGGGAGCCTGGTAGGGACAAAATATAATCTGGTCAGCAGCTTGGTCAGATATTAGGTCTCTCGATATTAGTTCTCTCGATCGAACGAAAAATATTTGTAGAAAGTAAACAAAGTGTGTTGATAAAATAAAGATATTTTATATTATATACAGTGTGAATTCTACACCTTGTTGAAGTTTCCTTTTTAAATTTTATATTATCAAAAAGTGCAGCGGCTTTAAGATCCTCACTTGCTGGTACATGCCACTGTTGAAGTAGCTGCGCACTTGTTAAGTCATCTGGGACTTCAGTTAGTCAAGCTGAATAAAGTCCATAATTTGATAAAGTAACGCAGCTAGATGCATGCTTGCATAAACCATCCTGTCCTGCTACACAAGAGCAACTTGCAGTTCCCACTTTTCCTCTGGCCTGGTGAAAGTGGACATACACAGTATATTGCACCTTTTTCATTGAAGCATGTACATTGCATTTAACAAGAAAAGAATGCTCAATTCCTCTTAAAATGTCTTGCTTATTGTAATTTGGTAACCATTTTTTGTGTAAAAAGCTGGCAGTCATATTTCTTAAGCTTGTGTGCATTTGGTGGTTTTCCCTGTTTCTCCGAAGTAGCAGTAGCTAAATACTGTTCTAGTAGCTCATGTGTGAAAGGAGGAATGCTTCTGAGATTCCTCGTCCATTCTCTGCGTTAACAAGTAAATATATTATCTGTTTCCACCATTACTTTGAAAAAAAATGCACCAAAACGGGAAGGAAAAGGAATATAAACAGCTAACAGCTAACAACTAACAGCTAACAGCAAAAAGCAAACAGCAAACAGCTAACAGCTAACAGCTAACAGCTAACAGCTAACAGCAAACAGCTAACAGCTAACAGCTAACAGCAGACAGCTGACAGCTGACAGCTGACAGCAGACAGCTGACAGCTGACAGCAGAGAGCAGACAGCTAACAGCTAACAGCTAACAGCTAACAGCAAACAGCAAACAGCAAACAGCAAACATCAAACAGCTAACAGCTAACAGCTAACTGCAAACAGCAATCAGGAAGCAGCAAGCAGCAAACGCAAACGCAAAACGCAAACGCACACAAACACACGAACATATAGTTTCACCGAACAGTGAACAGCAGCCAATAGTTTAACTTTTTAAATGTTTGAAATTAAATGAAAAGGCAGATATTTTGAATGGATATTTTTCGCGCCAAGCGTCCTCAATGTTTTGGTTTGTAAATGGAACACTTGATCAACCATGTGTTGTTTTTAAGCTGACTTGATGTGAAAACATTATTGCCTCTAGAACTATAAACTAGGACTTGATCGCAGAACTGCCTGTTGCAAGTGATGAACAAATGTTTCTTACCTATTCTACACAAATTTTAGCGATGTACTCACCTTTTAAAATGTGTGAAAAGTAAAAAATTATGTTGGTTCATGTCCAGGGGCGGATCCAGACCGATGCCTGCGATGCGAATGCATCGGTCAAAATTGAGAAATCATGATTCATGTTGCTTGAAATATATAGATATATAATGTCGCCAATACTCAAAGCACTCAGTAATAAAATATCTCCTATCAACCCGCAAATCTTTGCATAAAATTGACTCCATGTCAGGAATACACTATTTAGGATGAAATCCAAATTAAATAGTCTCAATAACAGTCGAAATTGTCAAAATAAGTCCAATATGCGACGTGCGATCGTAAATGTGTACTTTCTGTTATTTTGCGACACTTAAGCATCAATATTTTCGCGACAAAATATGTTATTTTTACCGCATCCTTTGACGTCACAGTTGAAGCAAAATGCATCAACTACGTCACGTTAGATTCGATTTGGCATCACTTATGCCCACGATGTGAAACTCGATCGAACCGAGGGGTCTAATTAAGTAAGTTAAATTTCTCTATATTTGTACAAATGGTAGTAAGTTACTAAATTGTCAAAAATTGTTCAGTTCAAGAAGTGTGTAATTAAAGTGGAAATGGGGTCTACAATTTGATTTGTATGTAATAACAAAATAGTTACAGTTTGTGTCTATTACTGTTGTTGCTCTATATTCTAGAAAAACCAGGAAGATGTTAGTGGTTGGGGGGGTGGGGGGAGATTACAGAGGTTTGCTTGTCTGGAGGCAAACCAGGCCCAATACAAAACTTCACAGCTTGCTTTACTGAGGCAAATTTCATCTCTGTTTACATGGGATTATATCCTGTGCCCAGACCTTCATTTTTCTCACAGCTGGCAGGCAAAGAAAAATAAAGCCCTGATACACATGTTATTAAATGTTTTTGCCCTACAACTGCCTATATGGTTCATGATTGTAACTCCGATTGGCTATTTCTAGCATGAGTATTCATGCCATATTTAATGTATTGTTTTGATAATTGGTTAATGCTATAATTAAATAATGTTATTATGATATATTTAGTGATTGTAACTATATTTAGCTTGTTATTATGTGAAATTGACATTTCTTCTGGCACATTTTGATTGGATACCAAAAATAAAACTATAGTGTGGGTGGAAAGTAACTCTGAATGGATCAAGACTTGCATCAGTCTCCGTATGTAATTACAGAGCATAATTGCAGGTTAATGAGATTTCTAATAGTAATGCAACATTGGTTACAGTAGAAGACTAAGGGGGAGTTTATATGAAAGGTAATTGTTCCCTGCAACTTCCAGTGGTATCTCCTATTTCATTACATTTTCATTGTATATGGAAATGAGCTGGCATGCCTTGTGACAGGGGTCTTACTTTGCATTGCCTGAATTATTGGGCAATTACTGTACACTAGCTGGATATTTTGCAAAGAAAGATGATAACCTGGGATTGCTCACCTACCATAGTTGAGTGTTTATATGCTTTGTCTGTGCAAATATAATTTGATATAAGCTGTTTACATGTCATATGACATTCTCCTGAGTCCTGACAGATTTTAATCTTAGAATCATTGATAAAATGATGGACGGCATAAATACTGTATATACTGTAACTGGTGTATATAGGTTTATTATAATTATGAAATTTGCTCACAAAAGTGGGATAGTTTGGAAAATATATTTAATTAAATTATATATTTGTAATGCTAATTATCCCAGTATTATGTTTTGGATAG